AGGTAAAGCTTGTACAACAATTTAAAAATTCAATTAAAAACAAAATTGTCGTGGAAGTTTCAAACAAACGACGGTTTAAAGAAAATACCAATGTCTGAAAATTGAAAAACTAGTAAAAATGCAAAGTTATGAGAATTTACCTTTTCATCTTGCTTTTCTACATCCCTGGATTTCTATTTTAAGAAATGAAGAAATATATATAAGACAGATTGTACAACAAGTCAAAAAAATTAAATTAAACCATCGTGGTAAGGCATGACAGAAGACGGTATCTAGGAATAACTGACGTCTAAATCACATTACACGACGGTAAATAAGAAACATTGTGGTGATTTATCTATTACGTCGGTAAGGAATAAAACCGTCATCTAAATCAACATAAAAAAATTTAGAAATCCATATTCCAGAGTGTACCAGCCTTTTTTAGCAGAAACACAGATAACAGCAATTGCAGAGAAAGAGAGAGAGAGAGAGAGAGAGAGAGAGATACAGAGAGTGGGATTGTGTCAGTGAAGATAGCTTGTAAAACAAGTAAACTAAATACGACAATAACTCAATCCTTTCCACCGTCGTGGTATTGCAATCCCAACGACGGTATATTAATAAAAAAGACGTGGTATGTATTTTCAAACGGCGATAAATATAAATCGTCGTTGTGTTTTAATTCTAACGACTGTAGTTCACAATAACGACGTCTAATGGCTTTCAAAAAACAGAGAATTCAAAGTTCAGAGATGTTACCATTTCATCCTGTGTTTCCCCATCCTTGGCATTATCATCCTCAAAATGTAGGGCTCTCACATCAAGAGCCCCAGAGCAGCTTTTTTTGTCCGACATTGGATTTTTGGGACTTTGCTCTTGACCTTGGATTTGACAGGGGTTAGTTTTTAGTTTAAGCATGCTTGGATCAAAATTGGGCATGCAAGAGTTGGGAAAGCTGATTCAGCAAATTTTCCCTCTCGGCTTCTACCAATTGCTTGGTTCTAGCCTCCATCTTTAAAGTCTCTTCTCTTGATCTAGCCTCCATCTTCAAAGTCTCTTCTTGAAGGACAAGTCTTACACTTTCCTTTAATTGATCGGCAAACTTTACCCTCTGTTGTCTAGGTAAATTGAAGTATTGCCTAGTGGAAATCCCAGCCCCTACCCCTCTAACTCTCCCTGGATGCTCGGGACCCAAAGTCATAGTCAACACATCATTACTTCTAGATACAGTAAGAGTGCCTTCAGAGACTTGTTTTTGCAATTCATCCTAACACAACTACACATTAACAAGTTAGCATAAATAGAAAGTTAGTTCCACATGCAAGTCTAATTAATATTCCAATACAATTTAATAAAAATTTAAAATAGAGTGAGTAGGCTTACAATTAATTTTGCTTTCTCTGCAACCTTTGGATTCGGGATGTTAACTTTTTTGTCTTCTCTAGCCTTCTTCCATAAGGTAGATCGATCAATTTCTACCCCAGGCATGGTTTCCTCCAACTGATCCTCCAAACCAGCATATCCTTTTCGAGGCAATCGATGATTGTACTCAAGTTTCTCCCTCCTCTATGCTTGTTCAGTATGCACAGACACAAATTGTTCGGATAACCTTGAAGCTACAAAGGCATCCCAGTCTGCTTTCTCTATGAATTTATATAGTAACTTCTCTTTCTCATTGATGAATGGAAGGATATGATGCATCGTTAGTGTAGACTTGAAATCCTTCCATTTCTTGCCAGCAGAAGATAACACCAGTTTCTTGCCCCCTTGACCTACCACAAAAGCCATGTCAACGGCTTCCCAAATCTGCTCTTTTATATCCTTGGGGATTTTAGCCCATTTCTTGTCTACAAGTGGGACTCTGGAGCGTGCCAACACACCAATGTAGGACTGCATCTCAGTATGTGCAGGGCCACATGGTTTCCCCCTTTTATTGTACTCAACAATTGGCTTGATTTTCTGATATTTTATCTTCACAACACGAGGCATTGTGTTTATACCCTGACTTGACTTTGGCTCCTTAGAAAATGTTGTCGTGCTGCTTGGTTATGTCTTAGCAGATGAAACAAACTTCATCTTCTTCGAGGACTTGGCTTGAGGTTTTACAACTTTAAGCTCCTTACATTCTTTTTTTTTTTCAAGCCAAAGTCCTTACTTTGGTCTTGAGAAACGATGGTTATAGACAAATCAAACCTGCAAGTGAAAATATTTCAGATGAAAACATTCAACGTAGTATTATTATTCACACGACGCAAAATAGAACAGCAAACGTATTAGGACTTCATCACGGCAGTATTTATATACCATTGTGGTATGACAATTCACACGACGTTAATAATAAGATACCGTCGTCTCTATAAGATGAAATACAAAAACAGAGAAGTGGTTCCAGACCGTTTCTTTCTTTTTCTTTGTATTTTATCAAATTTGGAAAAACGTAAAATGATTTTCAACGGAAAAAAAAATTAAAAAGATTTTCAAAATAAAAACCATGGTTCAAAGAAATCAAACTTGCAATGAATATATCCTAATACATCAAATAAAAAAACGACGGTCATTTTAAAAAAAACAACATAGTACATACTTTCACACTACGCTAGGATAACTGACGAACCGTCGTGTCTTTAATTTCTAACCACGTAAATAAGAAGTCACTGTCGTCTTATTTAGTTGAAGTACAAGTAACAGAGTTGTGGTCGCAGAAACTTTCGTTCTTTTCGCCAGAAAAAGCGTAAAAAGATTTTCAAAACAAAAACCAATAATAATATGCGCATGCAAAATAGGAACAAGAATAGTGAGAAATGGTTACCTTTTGCGTGCAATGAAAGTTTTCTCTTGGAGTTGGGAGTTTCAGTTCAGAGACGAAGAGGAGATGAAGACGATGAGATACAGACACGGCGCTTTGAGAAGGAAAAATGAGAGAATCTTGAAATTTTTTCTCGGGTTTGGAAATAGTGAATGTGTAGGTCAAGTAGGCGAAAAGTTTAAAATATTAAAAGACTGTTTCATAACACGACGCTATTAATAGAAACCGCCCTAGTATGTAACATTATACGGCGCTATAGGTTGTAACCGCCCTAGTACAATGGTTTCAACGACCCCTAGTTTTCCGAAAACGCCATGTTTATGTCTAATTAAACGACAATTTTTTCTTCCAAAAAGATGTATCTCGTCTTTTTCAAATTTACACAATGACCTTATTCTCAATAATAACGACGTTAAAGATCTTATAGAACGTTGTTTTAATTACACAAACCGACGTGTAACCTTTTTAATTACACAAGAAATTAGTCTTTCAAAAAAATGACAACGTCGGTTTTTTGATATACTGTCGTGGTTAATGAGATTTATACGACCTTAGTTTAGTGTGAAACGACGGCTATGTTTTCAGTTAGACGTCACTACTTTTAATAGAACCAACGTGGTAGAAAAGATTATTTTATAAATAAGGGTTTTTCAGGCGTTCTTTGGCTTTCATTTTTCAATTAGGGTTTCAACTTCTTCTTGGCCTTGGCTTTGTGTCACCTCTCTGGAGGCAATAGTTTGGATGTTGATGTGTGTGCGCGTTTGTGTATCTGAAAGACACAAGCACGCACACATTATCAACTTCTAAAAAATTGTCTTTCTGAAAGCAAATTTCTTGGCCTCCGTCATCAAATTTCAAAGGCAAGTTTTTTGGATTTTGATGTGTGTGCACTTTTGTGTATCTGAAAGACACAAAAACGCAGACATCATCAACTTCTAAAAAATTGTCTTTCTGAAAGCAAATGTCTTGGCTGCCGTCGTCAAATTTTAGAGGCAAATGTTTTGGATGTTGATGTGTTTGTGTCTTTGTGTATCTCAAAGACACAAAGACACACACATCATCAATGTCTAAAATATTGCCTTTGTGTGTTGGTTCGATTATGATGAAGAACAAAGTTCATTCTGGTAAGACTTCACTTTAATTTGATTGTGACGACGGTTTTCTATATAAACTGTCGTGTGTTTTCACAAATCTTGTCATACTGTTGATCTACCGCCGTAGGAAACAAAATCCAACAAATAAATCTTAAAAAGCAATAAAAATTCAGACGACGGTTTATAGATAATGACAGACGTATAAAGTTAATTAATACGTCGGTATTTTTAACTCTACAAAGTGGTAAAAAAAAAATTTATACGTCGTTAATTGAACAAACCGTCTTGGTTAGTACAACTTATGCGGACAGTAGAGTTATAGATACTGTCGTAGTACATTGTAAATAAAAAGTCGATAAATTTATCTTTATCGTCGTAGTACATTGATTTAATATGGCGAATTTTTTGTAATATACCGATGTCGATTCCTTTGAAATTTATGCATCGCTGACTAAGAAAATTTGGTCGTTTTTATTTATGAGTTAACACGACGGCTGATTTTGTAAACCGTCGTCTTTACTTTCTACGCCGGTGGCTTCATAGCTGCAGTCGTTGTTTTTAGGTTCAGATTTTAACTCGGAATAAAACCTTTTTAATAAGACGACGCTTTTTTAATTTGGTGCATCGTTTTTTAAAAATGTCCATGCAGATCCCAGTTTTTTAGGTGTTTAAGTTATGTATTTACGATGGGTTTCTATTACCATCGTCTTTTAAAACACAATGACGGTTTTTTGATCTACCGTCGTTGTTTTCTGGTCGTCTTTTGCACTTTTTGTAGTAGTGCTTCGATTTATTTTAATAGACTTCCTTATGAATGGTGAATTGTTTAATGATCAAGTAATTATACTTGTGTGATTCTGTAAACATGCATATACAAAAAGTGATTTTACTCCATTTCTTTCTGATGGGAACTTTATATAGTTTGATTTTTATGTTTTTCCCATTGTGCCAATATTGGTCTAACTAGCCTGCAATTTTCATGCATGGGATTAGCATGATTAACGTATATACAAAGACGCCTTCAACCATAACTATACATTTATTTAGAGTTTTTTTTTGTCTGCGAAAAGAATTCATTTAAACTAACTAAATAAAAGTTCATACATAACAAAAATTGTCTACCCACAATTAGTACCACATCCGTGGACCAAAACACAAAGCACAAAACCCAAAAGACCTAACATAAAAGCGGTAGCAGCAAATCCAAGCTTGCAAGAGTTCAGAGTTGGAGCACTGCTTAGAGTTGAGCTTGGTGACATCTCTTCTGGATGAGAGGCTGAAGATGAGGATCCATAAGGTGATGGGCTTGGACTTGGGATGAAACTTTCTGAAACAGGCAGAGTGACCTTGCTGTCAACCTTTTGTCCGGCTTGGCAATGGCCAGGAGCACCACAAAGAAAGTAATAGTGGCCGGGCCTTTTAGGGGTGATGGTGTCAGAGCCAGAGGTGTATGTTGAGATAGCAGATGCATTGCAAGATTGAAAGTCTTGATCAGAAACTTGCATCACGTTGTGGAATTGATTATTGTAAACAAAAGTGAGAGTGTCGCCGACGTTAAAATCTTTCGTTGAAGCCCACTTGTTGTAATCAACAAGGCCTCTTGAAGTCCACCCGGCAGAGTCTACAACTCTATAAACAGCACCAGAACAAGCACCAGAGAAAGCCATTATCACAACCAGTGGCGGTTCCAGGATTCGAAAGTCGACCGGGCAAAATTTATATAACAAACTTGACGAAACGAGTTAATTTCATTAATAAATATTTATAAAAAAAATTACATAGTGAGAGAAGACGTAATAAGCCTTACTCTCAAATGCATTTATATCTAAAAATACAAAAACTAAAATAAAAACCAAAAGAAAAATTAAAAGAAAAAAATAGAAAAAAATATATTTACATTAAAAAGAAAGATAAAATAGGGGACTACATTAATTTTAAAAAAACTAGATTTATTTCGAGAGAAATGGGAAGGAGAAAAATTGGCGGAGCTAGGTTTTGTTTTGTTTTTTAAAAAACCAGTTGTGACCTCATTTCTCCCCTTATTTTCTTTTATAAATGTTTATTATGACATCCATTTTTAGCTTTCCACCTCGAGCTCTATAGCCCTATCAATCATGTTTCGTAATTTCTGAAATAGTTATCTTTGTGGAAGACAAATTTTTTTTAATAATCATAAGTAATGTAGGTAATATTTTTCTAACAAAAAGAGAGAAGGAAAAGGAAGAAATAAGAAAGGGAGAGAAGAAGAGAGAGAGAAGATGGAAGAAAAAGAACGGAAAAAAAGAGAGGAGGGATGAGAGAAGGAAAAGAAAGAAAAAAAAAGAGGGAGAGAAGAGAGAAGGAAAACAACGGAAAAAAAGAGAGATATAAAGGAGAGAAGGAAAATAATAAAAAATGGAGAGAGGAGAGAGGAGAGTGTAAGGAAAAGAAAAAAAAATGGAGAGAGAGGAGAGAGGAGACTAAGGAAAAGAATAAAAAAACAATGAGAGAGGAGAGAGATGAGAGTGTAAGTTAATTTTTTTTTAACAAAAATTTGGGCTGGGCAAAAGAGAAGTGTGGGTAATATTTATTTAACATAAATTTGGGCCGGGCATTAGCAGGCTGGAACCGCCACTGATCACAACGAAAACTAGAGTAGCAATGTTGCTCAAAGTCACGACTGAAAAAAGCAGAGCAACCAAAAAAAAAAAACCAGAAGAGGAGAAAAGAAACAAATTGAGAATTGAGCGCTGAAATTTTTTTGTACGAAGGGGCTATGCACGACCTTGAATATATAGGGTGTGTTTTGACATATTTGATAAAAATTCAACATATATATTGTTTCTGTTATCAAAGTCTAAAACTTGTTTGACTAAAAAAAAAAGGCTAAAACTTCAAATTTTGTGCATGCCATTCCAATCTGACATCATTTAACAATATTGGAATGGGAAGAAAAAAAAATCCTGGAATTAATCCAACAAAAAGAAAGCTGTTGAGGCTTTATCAAACGAAACAAAATGTATAAGTTAGTTGGAGTCACTACAAGAAAAACAGGTATTAGTGGCCACCCACTTGGTCACAGAAACTACCCTTTTCGGTCACTGAATGCAATCAGTGTCCAAATATTGGTGGTCATTGGGTGGTCACTAGAAGCTCGTCACAAATGCTACTTAGTGGCCAATGTCAACTATTGGTCACTACAACACAAAGAATCAGTGGCTATTCCTGTCTGGTCACTAATAAAAACGCTATTAGG